GAACTCCTGACCTAGGTGATCCGCCCACCTCAGCCTCCCAAAGTGCTGGGATTACAGGCGTGAGCCACCACATCCAGCCAAACCAAACCTTTTGAATGAGCTACTGACACATTCACCAAAACGGATGAATCTCTCAAACCCACATGGGGAGCTAAAGGAGCCAGACTCATCTCATGGCATTGATGTGACATTCAGGAAAGGCAAAATTCTAGCAACAAAGAGACCCATGGTTGCCAGGGCAGGGGAGCACTTGCCCACAAAGGGGTGGGACAAGGGAATTTTGGTGGGAGCGGGGCAGTGATCAAACTGTTCTGTAACTTGGCCAGGCGCAGTGGCTCACACCTGTAATCCCAGCACTTTGGGTGGGTGGATCACCTGAGGTCAGGAGTTCGAGAGCAGCCTGGCCAACATGGTGAACCCTGTGTCTACTAAAAATACAAAAATTAGCCGGGTGTGGTGGCACGTGCCTGTAATCCCAGCTACTCGGGAGGCTGAGGCAGGACGATTGCTTAAACCCGGGAGGTGGAGGTTACAGTGAGCCGAGTTGAGCCACTGCACTCCAGCCTGGGAGACAGAGCAAGACTGTGTCTTAAAAAAAAAAAAACAAAAACCAAAAAACTGTTCTGTAACTTGATTGTGGTCACAACTGTATTAGTCAAAACTCAGAATTGTAAAGCAAAAATGAGTTTTAGTTAACATAATTTTTAAAAACTTAAAAAAAAACTTTCAAAGAAATAATTGTTTATTTAAGGAGAATTAGAAGCTAGAGGAAAATAGAGGAGGAAAGAAGAACCATATCTGTTTCTACTGCGCCACGGCACCCGGGGTGGGTCTCGAATTACACTTCCATCCCGCCTTCCCCTCCCTCCCGGCCAGGGTTTGGTTTAGGAATAGTTGAAAACATGATTTGCTGCTACAGTTCTCTGTGCTCTCCTGGTTGTTACAAGCTGGAGTCTGCTCAACTCTGGGGAAGAAAGAGGTATTGGCTGTGAGGGATTAAAAAATGAGATATTTGCAGCAAATGGGGAGAAGCCGCTGGCAAAAGTCTGGTGTCTGGATGTGGAGAAGCGAGGTTCCCTGTGGCTAGGGGAGGGATGCTGAGGGTCTGAGAGGGAGCCAGAGTCCCAGTAGGAGAGGCCACAGAAGAGCCATGTCCTTGGGCAGCCAGAGCCCTGCTGGCACTGCCCTGGGCTTGAGGCAAATGGCAAGGGAGGCTCTGCGGCTGGGCTGGCAGGAGCCAGGCTCACCAGGAAGAGGTGACGGTCCTGGGCGGTGCCGTTCTTGGCTGACAGCTTCTGGATTTGGCCCTCCTTGATCAGCTCATTGGCCGGGTTGACAATGTCCTCTTCCCCACCCAGCTGCTCGTACACCTCCAAGAGCTTGTGCATTTTCTCCTGCAAGAGACATGGGGCTCAGGCACCGAAGGTCTGTGAAAGCGGCTGGTAACCTAGAGATACGCGGAGCCCTTCCCTGCAACTGTGGCTCAGAATCCAGAGAGGACAATGAGCTACTGACAGGGGTGGGAGGGAAATCAGAGTGATGTTTGAGTTAAGTATTGAAGGATGCCTAGGAGTTCGCCATGCAGAACATAATAACAATGATAAACAGCAACAGAGCTAACCATGCTGTGAGCCAGGTGCTGTTCTACATATGATACACGTTTTAACTCACCTAGTGAGGTGAGTGCCATTGTTATCGTCATTTTACAGACAAGGAAACTGAGGCACAGAGAGGTCAGTTGAGTGTCTGAGACCCAGACTCGGACAATCCATATGTCACCTTTCCCTGGCCATGGTGACTGCTGGGGTGGTCACGTGGGTAACCAGCA